CTCTGTTCCTGCAGAGATGAGACCTTGTCCTGCGCTGATCTCAGCCCACAGCAGAGGCTCCACCACGTGCCCGTGCTGGAGCCCGGCACCTACAACGGCACCTTCACCACCCTGTAAGACTCGCCTTTCACGACGCTCTGCTTCCTGCCTGACGTGGCCGCCTTTCCCCGGAGGCCTTCCTGGGCCTTCTGTCCTCCCAGACCCTGTCGACTGCCTTTCTGCTCTTGCCTTTGGCTTGCCAGCTCCTCCCTCCCTTCCCCGCTTTTCCTGCTGTGCCATCTCCTGTTTCTCACCTGCGATTGCTCTTCCTCCTTTCATGGCATGGCCTCCCCTCTGCTCTCCTCTCAGCTCTGCTGCACCCTCGCCCTCTTTGCCGAAGCATGTCCCTCTCATCATCTCATTAGTGATGCACGACAGAGTGGTTAGGAGGAGATCCTGGCTGGGCATGGTGGCTCACGCCTGTAATCCCAGCACTTTGGGAGGCCAGGGTGGGAGGGCCACTTGAGCCCAGGAATTGGAGACCAGCCAAGGCAACATAGGAAGACCTCGTCTCTACAAAAAATATGTAAAAATTAGCCAGGCGTAGTAGCATTTGCCTGTAGCCCCAGCTACTCGGGAGGCTGATGCGGGAGGATCACCTGAGTCCAGAGCTGGAGGCTGCAGTGAGCTGTGACCATGCCACTGCACTTCAGCCGGGGCAACAGAGTGAAACCCTGACTCAAAAAAAGAGTCGAACCTAGAGACAGACTGCCTGGGTTGGAAGCCAGGTCTGTTATTCATTAGCTTTGTGACCTTGGGCAAGTTACTCAGCTCTTGACTCAGTTTCCTCATCTTTAAAATGGGGGTTATGATAGTTACAACAATCATAACAATCCATTTCACAGGATTGCTGTGAGACTTAGGTGAGTGAATATGGGTAATACGCATGTCAGTGTCCAGCACATATAGGAATGTTAGTTCTTAATATTACTACTCAGTCCTTTAGTTATGCCCAGAACTCATCTTTGTCCCTAGCTTTTAGTATGTAGCGCCCATTTGGGGCCCAGCCCAGGGTAAATATGACAGTCTCCAGGACATGAAAATGACAGGAGGGAAGAAAGGGAATAGGCATAAAGGGGGAGGTGGTGTGTAGGACGGAGCACGAAAGGAGAGGTCGACTGCAGGTACTGTCACTCACCAGGGTCTGCAGTTGCTGAGTGGAGCTCGGGGACACTTTGTGGATGAGCAGACACCTCACTTGTTCAATAGGGAAAAAACACAGAGGACAGCTAGGTGGCTGCAAGTGAGGTGGGGAGTTAGTAGACCAGTCTCTATGCAAGGAATTGGGTGAGACACAGTAAGATACTCTGAAAAACCTTGAATATCAGCTCTAGGAGTTTGAAGGTTGTATGGTGAGGTATGGAGAACCATTGAAAGTTTTCATGCAAAGGGTAGGTGTGGTGGCTTAAACCTGTAATCCCAGCACTTTGGAGGAGGCCAAGGAGGATAGCTTGAACCCAGGAGATCGAGACCAGCCTGGGTAACATAGTGAGACCTCATCTCTCTCTAAAAAAAAATTAACTGGGCATGGTGGCATGTTCCTATAGTCCCAGCTACTTGGGAGGCTGAAATGAAAGAATCACCTGAACCCAGGAGGTCAAGGTTGCGGTGATCTGAGATCGTGCCACTGCACTCCAGCCTGGGCAACAGAGTGAGACCCAACTTAAAAAGTTTTCAAGCAAGAAAGATTGAGACTAAAACAGGAGGATTATTTAATAATCCATGTGTGGAGTGATCTGAGGGGAAAGCTTAATCCAGGGAGACCAAATAGAAAGCTCTCGAAAAGTCTAGGAATGAGAGAGAAGGGCCCAAGCCAGATGGGTTGTGATGGGAGTGGGAAGCACCGCAGAAGCCCAGACAGGGTCTAGTGACGGTTCAAGAGTGGGGGCGGGTGTGCCTCATGGTGCGGGTGGCCTCGCGTTAGGTCTTGATTAATGGTGCCGACTGGGCAGCTGAAACTGGAAATCAGAAAACAGGCATTATTTTCAGCATTTTCATATCCCCCACAAGGTGGCCATGATTCTTTTACTTGTTCTGATCCATCATTCTTTTCCTACTTCTTAAAGGATATGAACTCTGTTTCTTCACAGAAATTTCCGAGGAAATGCTATCTCCTCCATTGAAAAAAATGCATGGAGAGCATACCCCTGGACTGAGAAACTGTGAGTATATTCTCTGCAAATATGAATACAAAAATGAACTGCATTTTTATCCCTCTTGGTCCAGAATTTTTGAGGCTAATACTTCCAAGGAAAAGTATTTCCTTCTCCACGTCCCAAATCAACCTCTGTTGATGCAGTTCTATGGTTACTTTAAAATTAAGTTTGGCCAGGCTTGGTGGCTCAGCCTGTAATCCCAGCACTTTGGGAGGCTGAGGTGAGTGGACTGCCTGAGCCTGCGGGTTCGAGACCCGCCTGGGCAACTTGGCGAGACCTCATCTCTACAATAAAATAAAAAATTAACCGGGCATGGTAGCGCACGCCTGTAGTTCCAGCTACTTGGAAGGCTGAGGCGGAAGGATCGCCGGAGCCCAGCAGGTCGAGGCTGCAGTGGCCAGGAGTGGCCACTGCACTCCAGTCTGGGTGACAGAGTGAGACTCCAACTCAACAACAACAACAAAAAATTAAGTTTGGGGGGCTGTCTTTAATAAATAAAAGGCAACTTAAATTTATTTTTTATTATACAAGCAATACATGATTGTATTCTTAATATATACAAACAACATAACAGGTGTAATGAAAACCCTCCGTGTGCCCTATTCCCCATCCCTGAGGTAACTATTACTCTGAGTTTGCTATAAATCCTTCCAGACCTTTTCTCATGTGCCTTCTTACACATATATCTACATGGATGTGTTGTGTGGTTTTCTTTTTTTTTTTTTAAACATAAATGGTAACATCTTACAACTTGATTCTTTTTTTTTTTTTAACAGTCTTGCTCTGTCACCAGGCTGGAGTGCAGTGGCACTATCATAGCTCACTGCAGCCTCAAACTCCTACGCTGAAGCGATGGTCCTGCCTCAGCCTCCCAAAGTGCTGGGATTACAGGCGTAAGCCACCATGCCCAGGCTTGATCCTTTCACTTCCTGATAGGTCTTAGATTTCTTTCCTTTCTAGGACTTAGAGGGTTACTCCATTCATTTAAACTCCTGTGGCCAGGCATGGTGGCTCACACTTATAATCCCAGCACTTTGGGAGGCCGAGGTGAGAGGATTGCCTGAGCCCACAGTTTCGAGACCAGCCTGGGCAACTTGGCGAGACATCATCTCTAGCTCATAAATGAAAAATAAAAAAATTAGCTGGGCGTGGTGGTACTTGCCTGTGGTTCCAGCTACATGGAAGGCTGAGGCGGAAGGATCACCTGAGCCCAGCAGGTCAAGGCTGCAGTGGCCAGGAATGTGCCATTGCTCTCCGGCTGGAGTGGCAGAGTGAGGTACTGAATCAAAAAATAAATAATATATACTCCTGCAAAATACTTAATCTTTATGCACAAGTTATACAAACATACTTAAATGTTTCCTAATAACTATATCAAGTACCAGTTTTTAAATTTAAAAGTAACTACAGCTAAAGCGATTAAAGGTTCAGTCCCTTAGTCCCACCAGCCACTCTCAGGTACTCAGCAGCCATGTGTAGCTTGTGGCACCAGCCACTCTCATTGGACACACAGCGCAGGCATGGAAATGAACCATGCTCAGCTGCATATAACACCTTGACCTTACAAACAGGATGCTGAGTGAAAGAAATGACATAGGAAATAACATGTGTGCTATATCATTTATGTAGCATTCAAGGAGAGGTAAAATGAATCTTTGATGTCAAAGGCTGATATTTAATAGATAAAACTACACTTTAAAAACAAGAAAATTGCTGGGCTCGGTGGCTCAGCCTGTAATCCCGCGCCTTTGGGAGACTGAGGTGAGTGGATTGCCTGAGCCCGCGGGTTCAAGACCTGCCTGGGCAACTTGGCGAGACCTCATCTCTACAGTAAATAATAAAAAAAAAATGAGCTGGGCATGGTAGCACATGCCTGTAGTTCCAGCTACTTGGAAGGCTGAGG